ATGGCTGCCTTTAGACTAGCTAAGTACCAAGAAGGGGTGTCCAAACTTTATAATAAGAGCAAAATCCTGAAGATTCCAAGTAAGTGACCTAGTGCTCAAAAGAGTAGTCAAGAACACTCGTGACCTGGCCGATGGAAAGATAGGACCTAATTGGGAAGGACCATATAAAGTCACGTCAGTGAGAGGCTCCAGATCATACATATTAGAGGATATGGAGGGAAATGTTGTACTTCGGCCTTGGAATGTAATGAATTTGAAAACGTATTATTTTTGATAAAAAAGGCTTATTTTTGCTAAGTGTGCTATCCTGGAATAGGCATGGCCCCGAGGGCGAAGCCTTAAGACTTTTGCCTCCAAAGAAACAAAGAAGCGAAGCCTCCTAGAAGGGGCATGGCCCCGGAGGTGAAGTCTTGAGACTCTTGCCTCAAAAGAAACAAAGGAGCAAAGCCTTCTAGAAGGGGCATAGCCCCAGAGGTGAAGTCTTAAGATTCTTGCCTCCAAAGAAACAAAGGAACGGAGCCTACTGGAAGGGGCATGACCTTAGAGGTGAAGTCTTAAGTCTATTTCCTCCAAAGAAACAAAGGAGCGAAGCCTTCTATATAAGGCATGGCCCCCGAGGAAGAACACTTGCATTTTTTGCCCAATGAAGGAAGCCGAGGCCGAGGGAGGGTACTACCCCCAATGAGAGGGAGGATCCCTGTAATGCTCCAAAAAACCACCTTGGAAGGCATTACTATCTACAAACCATCCAACCATGAGAATAACTAAAAATAACCATTGGATAATAAACCATTCATCTATCTGACAAAGAATAAATAATAAAAACCAACAAAATATTGAAATTTCTCCAACTTACAATTCAAAACCAAAGAATATCTAGCTGCAGAATGATAAAAACTATCTGAAACATTGTTTCAGAAAAATCTCTCCTAATACAATAATCAGAACTAAAACGAAGAATTTCTAAGTCTCTACTTCAGGATCCTCATACTGAGCCTCTTGATTAACCTTAATTAGTATATAAATCAGAATAGTTAACAAGTCAAATTAATAAGATAAAATAACTAAAAACTAGTAATTAAGGGCAATTAAGGTTTGTGCGGGAATTAGGGTCTTATGTGTGTTACGTTTAAAATTTTTAGGGTTTGATGCAGAATTACTACAAATGCAAGGAGCAAGTTGATATTCCAGCAAGGTCCCACCGTCCGGAAGGTGGTGGCGGCGTCCGGACGGTCCCCATTGGCGGCTGAACTTATTCTGATCCCTCCTGCTTACTTCCTCCTTTATATAAACACATGCAAGCCTCCATTTTCAGGAGGTCGGACACCATGAGCTGCAAAAAAGTTCAAGAGAGAAAAAGAAAAAAAAGAACGAGAAAAAGAAAGAGAGAAAGAGAAATTGCAAACTAGTCAATCATACACTTCAGTCCAAATCCTGTATTTTTACATTTCTGTTGTGTCTTTCTATTCGGATAATTGAACTACCGCCACTTTTTTGTCATAATCGATAATAAAGGTGGTTGTGTTTTAGTCATTCCTTGTGAAAGACGTTTTACGGTTTGTATTTTAATTTCAGTTGTAATGAAAATTGCTTGCACTCCTTGCTTGTCTGTAGCAATAGGGCGTGAGTAGTTACTTATATCCTCCAGTGAGAGGTAAATATATGTACAATATTGGTTAATTTTTGGAAATGCTGATGTTTTATATATTTATATATATATATGTATTATATGCTTCATGTATGATACAGTGATGTACGCAATTTCGGTGCTGTGCCTGGAATGATGTCATCAGTGTATTATGAACCTGCCGGTTAAATATCTACGGTGTTCCTATCAGTATGGTTTATCCTTCACCGGAACGCTGAGGATGTTCTACTGATGCATGGTACAAAACCTAAATGATCCTCATGAATGGCTTGTCCTTTTGGATTATCAGGGTTGTTTAACTACTATATGTAACTATCAGATTAATGACCTAAGTGATCCTCATGAATGACTTGTCCTTTTGGATTACTAAGATCGTTTAACTGGAATAAATGATAATATTACCAGTCGAATTTCTACAACATTCCTATCGGTATGGTTTATCCTCTACCAGAACGCTGAGGATGTTTAACTGGTATATATATATCACAGATGATCTATTGAATAATTCAAGTATTTCTCATGAATGACTTGTCCTTTTGGATCACTCAAATTAGTCAAATGGCACATCTATAACCAGCTAACCTAAGAAGTTGTTGTGTTATGACTTAATACCACTAATTAACCTAAGAAGTGGCGGTGTTATGGTTTATTATGTATGCACCTACTATTATGGAGTCAATTGAATAATTCAAATATTCCTCATGAATGGCTTGTTCTTCTGGTGTACTTGGATTAATCAATTGTCATGAATACCACCAGCTAACCTAAGAAGTTGTTATGTGATGGTTTATATACATTAGACCTATCGGTTGACTTGCCAGTAATATGAAAGTTAATTACTGTAAGGTAGCATTTTCAGTACTTGACCAATATAAAACATATGGATCATTGAACTAAAGGATACTTTTTATTATTCTCTTAATCTATCTGCAAATAAAAGTTTAACTAGACTAGTTATTAATTTAAGCTCACAACACAAGCTATCACATGCTGTCCTATCTAAAATAATGACTTCACTATTTTTATTTTATTTCCTAATTACACACACTCTTCGTGGGATCGATACTTGACCTTAAAACCGAAAAAACTACAATTCGACCACTTATACTTGGGTGTATACATATAAATCCATTCATGAAAAAGTGAGAATCACCTCTCCAGCCTAGAGATCAACCTGCTCAACTAACTCGACATCCTCCTCTCTGCCAAAATCTGTTATGTTTTATAGGGGGTGAGTAAAAACCTGTAGAAAATCCATCTTAAATCTTAACAAGGTTTACAACAATAAAAAGAAGGCAAGTCTCTTTTGCAAAATAACATATATACCATTTTGAAAGTTAAACAATGCCAGTTATAATGATCTCAAGTGTAAGGACATACAACAAATCAATTACAAGAATAAACATGCAAGAAAGTAAATCCATCAATAATTAACTCAGTAGTATCATCCCATATTCTCATGTATGTTGGTTGCTTATCAGGAATCTACACAACGATTCTACCTTGTTCACACATCACAACCACACAATCTCAATCATTTCCCACAGGGCCAAATCACAAACCACTTTAGGACGGGCGTATACTATCTCCCACGACATTAATGAATCCTTCATAGGAAAGGTATACCATCCCTCAGCCTCGAACTTACATAAACAATAGTGGTTGCTCTCACAAACAACAATCCACTACAAGTTTTAGGCAACCATCTCACCCCCACTGGGATAGACTAACCTCTAACACTCTACAACAACTCTTAAAGGTAATTCAAGTCCGTCACACCCAAACCATACAAGAGATGAAACCATAATATTCTCAACAACCACAATATTATCCAATCACAATTTTTATTAACAATTCAAGTATAAAAATTTCACAATTTTCAATATACTACAGTAATAAATGAATTAAAATATGCAACAGATCATAATAAGAAAACCTTTACAATTTCGATATTCAAAATTCTAGGGTTTTGCCAAAAAATCATAATTTCTTGGAACAAGAACAAGTAGTTGATTGAAAACCAAATTTAATCAATAATAAGAATTAAGAAATCAAGAACCCATATAATGTTCACAATAGAACATGTATTTTAGAAGAACTAGGGTTTCAAAAATTCAAGAACTATGTTTCTTGTATACAAGACATGTATCTCGTTGAAAACTATATGCTACTTGAAAAAGAATCAAGAACGAACAATATATTAATCACAAGAAACCAAGAACGAAAAATTATTTAACATATAATAATCTAGAGGATTTAAAAGATACATAATTATACCCTAAGTCTCAATAAAATAACTTGAGAAGAATCCCCTACTTTGATTCCGTAGTTTGTGTGTAAACCTAGCGTGTTTGATCAATTCCAATGTGAGAATCTCCTTTCAATATTGTGTTTCTTTTCTTCTCTCTTGATCTCTAAGGTTTTCTAGGGTTGAAAACTGATGAAAAACAGTTAAAGGGATGTCCTTATGGTATTTATAGGATGAAAAGCAGAGAAAAACCCTAAAATTGATTAAGGCTATTTTTCGGGTAGCGTCTGAAGGGTCCTTGGGCTTCCGGATGGTGAAAAGTCACTATTTTTTATGAAAAATAAAGTTTCATGGTGGGGAGTACCGTTCGGACGGTTATTGAGGCGTCCGGACGATGCCAACTTTCTATCCCAACTTCAAGAGAAGTTTTTACCTATTTAGAAGTTGATTCAAGAAATGTTCATGAAACACACTTTTATACCCCTTGAAGTCTACTTTCTTCTATCCAAAATTCAGAGCAATCGAAGTTCATAATAGAAATTTATGGCTAAAATAATAAGATAGTGTCAAATTTCTTTCTATGTGAATTCTTTCTAAATTGTGCATTAACTCCAGAATACTTCCTAACTTCTAATACACCCCATATTATGTCTCATAATGTTTTTCGATCTTCCAAATTCAATGGAGGTCTTATTTTGATAAATTTTTTTTAATACTTAATTAACCACCCTTTTCATGCTTAAACACATTCGAAACTAAGTTTGACCCGAAAGTCAATTCGTCTAAAACTCAAACTTTATGATCAATTTTTTAACAACGATGCGAAGTTTCTACAATCCTTTGTTTTTTATCCTAGGATAAATATTAATATGATATTATTCTTATTTAATTCTTGTACAAGGTGTTACAATCCCGGGCTCTGGTCTTGGAACCTCGATCTAGAGGAAAGATATACTTACAAAAAAAAAAAGAAAAAAAAGGCGAGAAAGACAAACACTTAGAAAAAGAGAGGCATTCTTGTATTACAAAAGAGTAGGGATTTACATCCCTCAAGCTACAAAGATGAAAGAAAACTAAGTTACAAAAAAGGGTAGAGGAGTTGCTCTATGGAGGGCTGGTAACCTCGCTGCCGATGCCACCTTCGATGTCACCAAAAAGCTCATCGATACTGGCAGAGAAAGAGTCGGTGTTGCGAGAAGGAGGTGCTGCATCGATATGAATAGTAGAAGCATTGCCCTGAAGGGTAGGCATATTGCCTACAGAGGTAGGAGTTGGAGCAGCGTTGGCAGGGGTAGGAGTAGGAGCAGCTTCCACACAGAGAGGAGCAGTGTCATCCTGAGGAGCTGAAGTTAAGGCCGTAGTCTTGGTTGCTGGAGCTGACTTTGGAACTTGAGGAATCCCAACATATCCAACTTCAACCTCGGCCATGGTTTGCACCATCTCCTCAGAAGGACTGTACTCATGCTCCTTAAAGAGTAGGGACTCGACAAGGACCCTAGCTGCTTGAAGTGTCTCATCCCACCCAATCTTGAAGTGCTCCCTCTTAGTCTCTCCGAAGGCCACCAGAATGTCATCGGAGCATCAGTCAATGATCTCCTATTCTAACTTCCTGTTGGCCTCCTGCTTAGCCCTTAACTTGTCCAACTCTTGGGTGAAGGAAACACAAGTCTATTCTAACTCGGCTACCCTCGCCTTGGCTAGAGACACTTGCTTCACTGCCTCATAATTCTCTACTCGGTGTTGGCAAGTGAAGCCTTGACCTTGTCAGCTTCTCCCTTAGTAACCTGGCTATCTTTGAAGAGCTCGACATCAAAATGGATTGCCTAACTCACGGCGTAGGCAGTGTGAGGAGAGGCAACGATGGAGTCGATCACCAGGATCGGTCGGTTGTCACCATCTTGGGCCCTGCTATGCCACTTTGGAATAGTGGGATGGACATTGGTGTTGGCGTCAGTGATGGAGTTGGAGTCAGTATCAGAGTAGGAGTGGCCCCTGACTTAGCCAGCACTATCATGCCTCTACTTTATTCTTCTCTCCTAGATCTGAGGATCCCTGTCATGGACTCAACTAAGTCTTGGCGACGATGGGTCAAATCAATCCTCAATGATTAGGGTGGCCGAGGGGGTGCCCTCGGGATTGACATCCTAGAAGGACGAATCCTTTCCTGGTTGGAAGGGGGTGTCTTGGAGCCCAAGCCACGTCTATGCCTGGCGGTGAGTGCAACTCTCTCCTTAATTAAATTGAGAGAAATGCGAGTTGGGTTGGACATGGCAATCTCCAAGGTCTCTTCATTCTCAAGGTTTTGAAGAATGTTGATGTCTGGCCAAGCATCCTTGCCCGAGGTTCTTTCCTTCCCGGGGATGGATCCCTTGTTTCTTTGGCATCGACAATTGTGCCTTTGACAGCTTCCATTTTGGCCTCATTAGCTCTGCCAGGGTCTTCTTTTAAGTTTTCTCTGGATAATGTTATCCACCTCACTTGATCAAAAAATTGGGGGGTTTGGGAGAAGTTTTTGTACCCCAGAGTGTAGTCTAGCAACACGTGTGCAGCTCGGCCATATCCACTGCCCACGAATCCCCAGGCGATGATAATTTCACTAAGGTTAATTTAATTTCGTGGAGGGGCAGCAGACTCATCATCAGAGATTCCTACAGAAAACAAAAAGAATCAACATTAAATGCAAGTATAGAAACACCGAGGGACCATGAAACTGAAAAGAGAGAGAATAGCTGATCTACTTATAGTCAGTCACTGCTTGGGGCACCACAAGTCGGTGTACGTAAGGCTGAATCCCCTCTCCCATTGGCTGCCAAAGACAAGCAGGTCATCTTTGTACCCCTTGTCGGAGTCTGGAAGTAGGAGTGTTCAAATTTTTGATTAGTCGCAATTTTCTACCCTACCCTACCTTACTGAACGGCTAGTAGATGATAAGGTTTATATATATAAACTAAAAAACCCTAATTGCTAACTAACCTTATCATCTACTAACTAAGGGAGCACCTCACTCCACTCCTCTCCTCTTGCCTCTATCGACTTTCATCACGTAAGCCTTGCCTCTATAGCTCTGACCTTCATCGTTTAGTCCCGACCTCCCCAACACTCATCTATCATGAAGGAGTCATTACTTAGAGGTTGTTCATTGCATAAAGTATGTTCTGTAGCATTCCTTTTCATATAGAATATTGAATTCAGGGTTGTGGTTACAACTTAATTTGTTCTCCTCTCTTTTGTTTTCTTTCTCGACTACTAATATAGACTCCACTGGTTTGTAATAGTTGGCTGATGTGCCCCCAATAATATTGTATTACTAAACAAGTGTTTGTTGCAAAAAAGTTTATGTAGAAGTTTAATTCTTTCCTACAACTTCAATTCATAGTTAAATTGGTCAAATGTTTGTTTATAAATTGTTATACGGGCTGACAGAAAGAAAAAATATGTTTCATGTAAATTTGGGAATACAATATTAAGACATGTAGATTCTGGCAAATATACACACTCCTTAAGAAGACTGGTAGGTTTTAGTGTTATTGATTTATTGTGTTGTTAAATTGGTGCATGTTATTTAATTGAATTGTTAAAATGATCCAAAAATTAATAGCTACAAAAGTGTTTAATCGAATAGAAAATTAGGTAAGAATACCACATTTGATCGGGTAGGGTAGGCCAATAAAAAATTCTTTCGCAAAGTATTGGGTAGGAAGACGAAAGACTATATTTCCTACCTGTAAGGTAGGGTAAACACCCCTATCTGGAAAGTGGGTCACAAGATACATGGTGGGGGCCTTGAGATAGAACTTCTGTTGAGGCATCACTCTCACCAAAGCATAGCAGAACAAGATCTCCTCCAAGATGAGGCTCAATTACAAGTGCTCATTTAAAGTGACCACCACCTAATGGCTCCTTTGTGGGCCTTCAACAATTGAAGTAGCCTTGATTATTGCTCTAGTAAAAAGGAAGAACTGATCACCACTGGAAAAAGTATCATCACTCCCTACATAAGCATATTTTAAAGTAGATAGGAGTGGCTTCAAATCAGGTTTGGGTGGTTGAACAATTGATGGTAGAGCTTGATTCTCGATGGGTGGTAATTCTTTAAACTTAGGCTCCCACGAGCCTAGAACAAAAGCTTCTTCTTCTTGAACAACTATTTCCTCAGACAGGATCTCTAAGTATCTTTCAATTGAATCCTCTTCTTGCTGCTTCGTTATGGCTTCAATGAGATTCATCTGATGTACCTCTCCATCATCCCTGGGCTGTCTTTCAATGTTGAACACTTTCAACTCCAAGGTTATATTCCTGAAGATTAGCATCATAAATCCATTCCTATAATTAATTAAGGCATTAGAGGTTGCAAAAATGGTCTTTCCAAAAAAATAGGAATCTAAATAGATGGGCTAGCAATAGGATTTATCAAGAACAATATAATTAACTGGGAAGTAAAATTTCTCCACTTAGACTTGAACATCCTCCAATATTCCTCGAGGCATCTTTACATTTATGTTAGTAAGCTGGAGTGTGATGGATATCGACTTCAATTCTCCTAATCCAAGGTACATATATACAAAATAGGGAATGAGGTTCAAACTTTCTCCCAAATCTTGCAGTGCTTACTCTACCTTGATAGTCCCCAATGGTGATTGAGATGGTGGAATATCCAGGGTCTTTGTATTTGGGCGGAGTGTTCATCTTTGAGAAACCTTAGGGTAGTCATATAGATTAAATTGGAGATTATTAGGGACAAAACCTTAATTCTTGGACAAAAATGCATTTTTTGGGCATGATGAACAGTAGCCAACAAGAATTTTTGTGTATAAAACCCCATTATCATCCCATTTTTCTCCCCCTCACCTAATACTACTCTATACACCTTAGAACTAGAGAGAGAAAGAGAGAAGAAGGTCACTAGAGATTGAGCATTTGCTTGGAAATCTAGTAATATTACTTGGGATTCTTGGATTCACTTGGAGATTTGAAGGTGGAGCTTGGGGTTCTTGAGTTTTGAGGTAGGGATCTCATTTCTCTTGCATGTACATTGATGCATCTCATGTATGTTCTATATCTATTTGTTTAATATGAGCTAAATAACTACTTTCATGTTATGGGTCTTAATTAAATGACAAGTTTACCATGAATTTGTAATCCTACATGTATTAAATGAATTTGAATATTGTGGGTTTGAAAACCTAGCTTGATATTTGTTATGGGTCTTTGATTGAATTAAGATTTTGAGTTCTTTAGAGTATACATTATCTTGTATATAATGTATTTGACTTGTCCCTTAAGAATTAGTATGTTACTTTGTAAATGAGTATTTGGTGACTTATGTCTACCATATGTTTGATAAAATGCCAAAGTGAGTATGAGTATTGAAATGATGAATTGTGGAAAGAGATATTGATTCTTATGATATGGTTCAGTATATTTACCTTGATTTTTGGGCATTATTGAGTTATTCTAAAGTATGGAAAGGGTGGTGTATATGTATATAACTTCTCAATCCTTTAATTTGTGAATTTTGCTATAAAAGGCTAGAAATTGTATTTTTGGGGTGTGTGTGAGATATTTTGAAAATGTGTTTTGTTGCAAATAGAAATGTGAGATGTTAAAAAACTATGTATATTTGAAAAAGTGCCGTAGTTATGGTTGGTTTTGGGAATGAAAGGTGATCACAAAATTATGGATTGAAACTTGTATGCTCGGTATTGTCAGACATATGGTTAGTAGACGATTGGGCCCTTGAGGGGGGTTACCAAGGCTACTACTAGTCCTAGAGGGGATTGGTGATGGTAGTGGTTTTCGATGATAGCCTATGTGGTATAACAAGTTGTGCCCTACACATCCACCCTGAAAAGCAAGAAGGGCAATGAGACTTAGGCTGCAAGACCCAAAATGTTCCTCGGGGATTGTTCATTTGTGAACTGGTGTTGGTTTGATGATATTTATTTGTATGGGTAGCATACATGGATTTTGGGTGCCAAAATACCAATAGGCTAATATTCCAACAAACCTATTGAGTGGGGGAGTGAGGTGAGGTGAGGTTGAGGAGAAAGTACATGGAGTTAATATTTTTAAAAAATAACTTGGAAAGAATAAGTTGATGAAATTATGTTCAAAACAAGAAATGATGATTTTACCAGATTTATTTTCCATGTACTTGTATAAATATTTCTCACTTTGTGCTTAATAAAATCAATGGTGTTGCGTTATGAATTAAGAAGAATGGTTTTATAGTATAACCTTGAGATTTGGTTTTGATGTTTTAATTATTTATTCTAAATGATAGTACGTAGTGTACTTTCAAAAATGCTTACTGCTTATCGTGTACCTAGACGTACTGATGAATTATTTCATTACCTATTATTATGATTGTGAACTAGTGGCATTTAAAACCTTGTATATGCTTGGGAAAAAGATTATCCTACTGGCTATGGATGCTCATC